GCATTCATAGTGGGGAAGAGGGGAGAGGGGAGGGGAGGGGAGGGGAGGAGAGGAGCCTTGTTCTATTTAAGAAAAAAAGCATCTTCAGCTCTTCAGAGATTAGGGAGCACAACAGACCTCTCAGCCACCCAAGAGGCAATGCCAGTGCTGAAGACAGGCAAACCTTATCATGTATAGAGGGCACTAGGTTGACTAAGGCTAGATGAGAAAGAAGTTGCGATTCCTGATGTGTAGGCCAACTCCCCAAAATTAATCACAGACAATGGGGGAAGGGAACACTGAAGGAAACTAAGAATTCAGTCCCCTTAGCCCAGGTTTGAGTATCTATATTATTATTCTTTACCCAGGAGTTCAGTTTTTGAAGGGCTGTCCTGTGCAAATTAAATTTAAAGACAAAGAATACAGGGGGGGAACTTGAAATTGTCCATCTGAAGTCAGCTTTTGGACATCAGGCGAAAATGTAATAGGCTTCCGCTTCCACATTACGTATTTCCAAATTGGCATCTGTACTTTTAATTTAGCATATTAACGTGTTATGCAATTCTGCCTGGTTCTTTCTTAATGTTGCATTCCTTTCTCCTTGCAGTTGCAGGAAATGGCACTCTAGGCTAGGACTTCATTTTGATAGAACTTCAGTATTTGTCCATAACCTTTTCAGGTAAGTCAATACAAGCAAGTCTGGGGAGAAAGTAGCTCCCCTTAAAGAGGAAGTGGGTGATAGGATGGAGCTACTTTCTACACTGATCCTACATGGCATGGTATCTCCATCAACTAAGGTGGAAAGTAGACATATCTGCCTCTTCTGCATTTGAAGGTAACCGTAGTCACAATGGGAAGGAGACACATATTAGCCTGGAAGAGAAAGCTCAAAGGGTCTTTCATCCTGACCAACAAAGCTCCATTGAGCCTCCCACACACATAAGGACCCCTGGGTCAGTACAGTTATGGAGCTGGGAATTTGGATTCAGCTCCCCCTGTCCCTATCCCAAGGAATAGGATAATGGTCCTTTTCAGATCTGATTGAGGGAACAGGCAGGTCACCTCCAGCATAAGGCTCCAGGCTAGACAGCAACAAGGCAATTAGTGTACTGAAGACAACTGAGGGAGCTCTGGGAATGGCAAAGACACACGGGCAGGCTACCACCCGGCCTCCTGCCATCCTAATTGAATCTCTACCATTTGCATGAGGAACAGAAGGGGGTCATGACCTCCCCTCATGGTCCCTGCTAGAGGTTCAAAAGTTTAAACAGCATTTCTCCTCCACCCCCAATACACATATAAGCAAACTGTAACTTAATTCCATGTGACCAGATGCCACAGCCTCCAAGGGATCTCTCCCTCCCCTCCTCCCCACTTTCAAAACTGAATCCACAACTGGGATGATGGGGGTAGAAGAGAAAATTGGATAGGAATTGGGTTGCTTCCCCCTCCCCAAACCAGTTTAGTCAAGAAGCCAAAAAAATTCACCTTGCTCCTCCTCCTTAGAGATCAATTTGAGCAAAATGAAAAGCTAAGAGATTAATTGTTAAAATCTGGGCTGACAAAGAAGCTATATACCATATTTTCCGGCGTATTAGATGACTTTCTAAACCATGCAAATCTTCTCCGAAGTCGGGGGTCGTCTTATACGCCGAGTTGTCTTATACGCCGGAAAATACGGTATATAAAAAAACCAGACACATATCCATCTAAGCCAGCATTTAATTTTTATAATGAGAGATGCTGGAGTTCCTATTTGCCTTACGATAAGCTGATCTGATTAGGTTGAAGAGCTTTCTAAGACGCCTTTGACTGCAAACAACTGAACTGTAATGATAGGGAAATGCATCTGCTCATGTTAATAGGCACTAAATAGATCCGTATGCTTTAGTGGTGGAATCTGTCATCCAAAAGGAGCTTTGGAAATCCAAGACTTGGGTGCACGTTGAATCCTGAATATGAAAACTGTTGGATAATTTCTGCACCAGTTTTAGCTCACCTTCCTTTTTCCTCCTCGGTAGCATCCAACATCCAACACATCAGTCTCTCCCTTCTTCCAAAAGGCTATTCTATTCTGTACTTCCTTCCCATCCCCTCTCTCCGCCTCATGCAGGCACACTTCAAAAGCTGCAAAATCGGGTTAGAAAATGCTGAGTTCAGGGCAATATGATTCTGGGAGAAGGAAATTGCATTTTAACTCTGCAAGGCCTGAATTAGGGAGGTGCGAGAACAGTTTGTCGGCAAGCTTCTGAGGGATCAGGTGCCATGAATGAAATGAAATATAATGAGAGTTACGATCTGGAGGCTGACCAAGATGTGCTTGGTCTGGGAAGAGTTCTGTGAAAAAAAATCCAAGCCTGAGGATGTGTACAGATATCGGGCTGGCCATGACTGAGCAGAGACAGGACACTGAGGAGATGGAGATGGGAGAAATCCAGTGGGATGTGCCATGCTGGGGTGTGGTCTCTGGTTGCTGAGACCACTTCAGGAAAGAACAGGCTTGAAGGCCAGCAGAGAAGCAGCAGAGGAGGGAGGGAGAAAGGAGGGCCTGCTCAGGAGATCAGGAGTAGGGGCAGATGAGCCAGTGGGCCATGTCTCCTGAGACATAATTGGGGAGGTGCTGTGGCCAACCTGGAATGTTTTGGCAGAACTTCCAGACTGCCGCAGTTAGCTTCAGGTTCAAAACTAAAGAGATGTTCTCCATTTCATTTACCTCTTAGTCTGAACCTTTTGCCAACTGTATCCATGACCCTCCGCTTCAGCCTCTGCCAGCCCAATGTCTGGACTTCACACCCCTTTTCCAGCTCTTGTGCAGCATACACCATTCATCTTCCACTCAGCTCTGCTTATTTTCCCTCCCAATCATTCCCGTTGCCCAGATAGACAAGGGAGGGGAGTGCCGACTTCCAGTTAATATTTAATGTAACAAGTCTGTTGGGCACAACAACTGTGCAGAGTGGTAACTAATGGCAGCTGGGAGGGGGATGCTAGTAACCACCACGACTCCTCTCTTGCTTGCAGCAAGCAGACAGGAAAAGGCCTGAGAGCAAGCGTGCCACTGCAGATGTTCCTCTGGAACCTTCTGAGACTGGAGCCGTTGGGGCTTCTGCAAGAGTGTCAGGGGAGGAGGAAATAGCAGAAACTATCTGTGCTTACTCAGCTGTTCCATGGCCCTTTCCACCTACAAGTTCAGTGGGGAGAATATAGGGCAGCCTGGAAGCTGCCTGGCTTCCAGTGGGCACAGTCCAATTCCTAAGTATACAGTTCCAGGCATAAAATAATATACAGTATACTCTAGGCATTTCTTGACCAACCCACAAAACAGAAAATGGGCAGAAGAAGCAGGATAATAAAAAGAAAAAAATAAAGGAAACCAAGAGAGAGAGATTAAGGTCCTAGAAACTCAGCATCCCAGGTATGTGGGGCCCTGCTGCAGCATTCAACATGAAGAGAAGACCGCCTGGATGCCTACCTATATCCAGGCTATCTGTCCTGGCATACTGAAAAGTGAAACACCATGTTCATTTCCAAAAATACTTTTGGATCCCACATTGGCATTCTTAAAAAAAATAAATAGCAGTTCAGTGCTTTGTTCAGTAGTGTGTCCATCTGTCCAGAAAAAGAGTAGTGGAGACCATTTTGAAGGATTACAGAAGAAACTTCATCAATTTGCCTTCTGGAAAAAGAGCTCCTGGTGAGCAGCCTCTTATGCTGTGGCAGCCATTTTGTCAGGGCACCCAACAAACTTCAGAATTCCAAGTGCATCAGAAAGAGATCTCCCTCAGGAAGAGAAGCTTCTGGGGAATATTATTTTGCAAAATTCTGATTTACATTATAATTATGATTTATCACTTCATATATCTCCCCTTACTCACTGCATCATTCCAACTAGCTCAGGGTTTCCACAGTTGGGCAATTTAGATGATGCATGGACTTCAATGCCCAGAATTCCCTACCCGGCGTAATTATGACTAAGAATTTGAAGAGCTTTTCAGGTTTACAAACATTGATCTAACTCAACTGTTTCCCCCTTCAGGTATGGTATTACAGCTTCTGGAATGTATAGCCACACCAGCTGGGAATTGTAGCCCCAGTGCATCAAGTAGGCACCAGATCATACAGAGCTAGTTTACACTAACTGGCAGAAGCTCAGGCTAACTTGGAGACTTAGGGTTAAAGCTGGGATTTTCTGCATGCAATTTTTCGGTTCAGTGGTTAAGAAGCTGGGTTTATCGGCTGGAAAGCTGGCAGCCCAGGTTTAAGATCCGAGTGCCCTGTGATGGAGTGAGTTCCCGTCCTTACCCCAGCTCCTGCCAACCTAGTAGTTTGAAAGCATGCAAATGCGCATAGATAAATAGGTATCACTTTGGTGGGGAGGAAACAGCACTCTGTGACATCATGCTGGCCACATGACCACAGAAATGTCTTCACACAAGCGCTTTCAATGGCCCTGAAACAGAGCACTGCCCCCTATAATTGGCAATGACTAGTGGGAGTAAAATCTGCAGGACTCCTTTACCTTTACTTTCTGTATGCAAAGTGTGTGCCCTGTCATTGCATCACCTATGAAGCTTTTTTGGAGGATTATAAAGGAGAGGAGGAAAAAGACATATGCTGACATGTGTGTTGTAGCAGGAAAATAAAGTTTGATCCAATTGCTCCCTTAAAGAAAATAATATTACTCAGCCCACCCCACCATTACTCATATTTTCAGCCCATTCTAAACAAAGCTATTAAATAAATGGTTTTGCAGATAGGGCTTCACTGCTGCTAAGCTTCTTTACTCATCTTTCTCTCAGAGCACAGACGGTGATTATGTATACTGAGATACAACCATGTCACCAACTGGGGACAAACACAAGTTTCTTTAGTTCTACTGGGAGGTAAGTAGAAATACTGGGGAAATGAACGCCCTTGAACATTTGTATGCACTCAGCCCTTAGTCATCACCTTCATCCTCCCACTGATTCCTTCCAGGTTCTATCCAAACCCTTTCCCAGGCACCAAGAAGAACATCTGACCTTCTTCAGGTTGCCAGCACGGGTTCCAATGAAGACGACTGAATGGCCACTATAGGTATAAGCAGCAACACTGGCCATGCCCTCGGTCTGTTCCTGAAGCAACGGGCGTCCCTCGATGACCTGCAGCCCTCCTAGGGGTTGGTTCAGTACCAACCCACAGAAATTGCCATTGATCTGCATGGGCTAGAAAGACGCAGAAAAGGGGACATGAGGGTCAACATCACACGGGAATGAGTAACTTAGGTACACAGTGTTATCCAACAAGCCCCATCTCTGTGTATATTACTCAGATACTTATGCCCCAGTTATCAAAGTAGGTCATTAACCAGAAGGGCCCAAACAAAAGTTCCCAGATTTAAGCTGCAGTCATGGGATAAGACAAGAGCCGAGAGCAAAGAAAAAGAAAGGCAATTTCCAAAGGCCAGGATGGCTGGGATTCTTATTTTAGAAAGGAATGGAAATGGGCAATTATTAGGTAGGAAGTGAGGAAGCAGAGACTGCTCGATAGTGTAATACCGTGTTGATGCAGGGCAACTCTTTGTTGAGAAGCCACGGTAGAGAGAGTCGCCCTTCACCACGGTAGCAAGACTGGATACGCTCACGGATGCGCTGATTGACTTCATCCAGCGTGAAAAGGCAGAGCAGACTCTCCCGGGGTGGTGCTGCCCTGTTCTTCTGGCCTTGCGAGAAGGCGGCATAAAGCACATCTTGCCCTTCTGCAATGCCCAGCGACTGGGCCAATTGTCTGCCGGCTTTGGCCAGCTGAGCCGCTTGCACCAGACGGTATTCCACCCCGTCCTTGGAGCAGCCCAGAGGAAATTCCACGTAAGAGTAGAACTCTGTGTCATTGGCACACAGGCGCACAATCTTGGATGAAAAGAAGCGCTCCCCACCCGTCACACCAGGGCCAACGGGACCTCCAGCAGGCTCGAGAGGCGTCTGAGCAGTGTCAAGCTGCAAAGTGAGGAAGTACACAAAACCACCAGACACAAAGGCAGACACGTAGTAGATGTCAAAGGCAGGGTAGAGCGAGAGAGTGTCAGAAGGGACCTTGATTTGGGAAGAGACAAACTCATCCTGATATACCAGGCTGAACATCTCTGGACTGGTGGCATCAGGAGTAAGCCGGCGGCTGGAGAGTGTGGGGAAGTACTCCGAACGCCCTCCAATTGAAGTGCCCACAAAGAACTGGCTGGGCTCTCTCAGCTGCTCCACAATCACACCAACCATGGCGTCTGGTTCACGCCCCCCTGAAAGGTAGTGCTCTTTGCGCTGGTGAGGCTCCCCTAGTTTGGCCAAGTCGTCCAGCCGCAAGAGCTGGCACACTCCCTGCCAAACGCTGCCGCAAGCCACGAGACGGTTGCCAGCGTAGTCAATCAGAAGCAGCTTGTTAACATTGTCAGCAGGGGACAGCCGGTGGGCACAGAGCCGGACGCCTGGGGGAGGGTAGCATCTGGGGTCATCCGGCACTGGCCCCGTGGTGTGAGACCGTAGCTGGGTCAGGTTGGCTGAAAGCTTGTAGATGCGGTTGACGGCACCCAAATAGACCTCCCCTGTCTCATGGTGCACAGCCAGATGGGTGAGGGCCATGTCCGGGGCAGTGAAGACAACACGGGTGCCCCAAACAGGGGGTGGCCAGGAGAGCAGGACACCAGCTATGATGGTGATGGGAAGGAGCAGCCACCACATGATCACTGGGGAATTGCCTGGGATCAGGCAGGGCCAGGCACAAGCAGATCATTCAGCCTGCAAGGGAGACAGAGATTGAGATCCAGCTTCAATGTGCATTGCAAGTGAAAAAGAGAAAAAAATACAGAAAAATAAACAAAACACAGCATAGCGCTCAAGGCTGCATGGTATATACAGCCTTACCCCAGCTCATTGTCATGTGACCAGGGCAGTGTCATGTGATCACGTTACAAGGTCTGTTGGGCTCATCCCACTAATCTGGGGCTCCTCTAAAGAGCTTCGTGCACCAAAAGGTTCCTAATGCATCATGACAGTCCCATAAAACTTACTCTAGGGAGTCCCATTTCTCCAAAGCAGTGGTTCTGAACCTGTGGGTCGGGAACCCATTTGGGGTCGAACGACCATTTCACGGGGGTCACCAAACAACGCAGTCCGCCATTTTTTTCCCCTTTTCCTAGCTGTGCTACTCCCTTTTATTCTATTGGCTTTTGAAAGCCAGTAGAATAGACTCTCTTGAATAGAGTCTAATTCTATTGGCTTTCAAAAGCCAGTAGGAATTGTCCAGGCTGTCTCTGCCCTGCTGAGCCCGCCAAAAGTCCCATGGTTTTGTAAAGATCAATCACGAGAGAAATATTTTTTGGTGTGGAAAAGATGGGTGAATTTTATATAGCACAAATATGAGATTAAAAAGTATTGTCTAGCTTTTGAATAATTTATGTTTAAGGTAATGATTAGAACTATTGTTTTGTTTTGTTTTTATATATTGGAGTTAAAGTATTTAAAATTTAGTTGTTTTTTTGAATATATTTATAATTGTCTGATGTTTATTTAAGTTGTAAGGGTTTTTTTTAGTTTTTATTAACCCTGTATTCAACTCTGGGAAGAAGGGGGGAGGATGATGGGTGGAGTGGGGTGGGAGAGGGGGATTATTTTATTGTAAAACTGTAAAAATTTTCAATAAAAAAAAAGTCCCATTCTGCAAACGGTGCTGCACCAGTTGAGTAGTCCTCGACTTACGACCGGTTGAGTAGTCCTTGACTTACGACCGGTTGGGGGGGGGTCACGGCATTAAAAAGGTTGAGAACCACTGCTCCAAAGGAACAGCCACTGCTTCAAAAAAAAAAAAGGCCTCCTTTTCTTGTTCCATACACTCAGCACCAGTTTCCAGCTTACTCACCAGCACCCACCAGACTCGGCATGAAGCAACACCTGCAGCACTAAAGAAGGAAAGCCAGCGCTGCATTGCGCATGTACATACCTGCAACAACTCAGAAAAGCCAGACCCAGCAATGACACCTGTCATGCCAAAGGAGCAAAGACTGCACACACGAGCAGCTGTTTCTTTCTCAGTACTACAGATATGCACATGTAGAGTCCCAATTATAAGCTCTCCAATGCCATGGTTTCCTCAGTATACACACCGGGGGTTTCATTTAACTATACGAAGTGGGAAGAACTTTCTTGTGCAGCACATTGTGCATTCACATTTATACCAGGCCCACCATTATCATATGTGCACCATTATTACAGCAGCACAATTGCAGATCCCTCACGTGCTAGCAGTTCCTACTGCAACAGGTTTGTACCCAATTTAAATGCTGTGCATGTGCGCTAGCAGATGTGCATTATCACAATGGAGATGGGGGGGGCGGGGGTGTTGCCTTCAATACTTTACAATGAGACCTCAAAGAACTATTCAGATAAACAGCTCCATTGCTTAATGGTTCCATCAGCAAGGGAAAATTTTGCATGTCTGAATGAACCATTAGAAAAATGCCACATTCTCCTATCCACTCTAACAATACTTTCCACTAAATTAGTTTTATTCATACAGCTAGATAGCTAAATAATGTGGAATCAAGCAAGGTGCATGCTAATAGCCTTCACAATCTCTTTATGCCACTCAGATATTTTTTTTCCATTTCTCTTCTCACCTTCCCAGTATTACACCATCTCCACAAACACTTGGAAAGAAATCTTTCCTCACCTAGCGTGGACAAATTCACACTTTTAAAATTTCAACTGCATTAATTCACAATACATATTGTCCACAGATTTACAAAGATGACTGAATTGGACTATGAACATTAAAAGTAACAGGAGAGGGTTCAGGAGAAAGAGAACCCCAGGGGTGCATTTCTGCAAACTGGTAATTAAAGTACAGTATGTACTTACAGCTTGTAGGAACCAGCAAACAGACAGTGGTAGCTCAGAATCCATCTACCCGATGCCCTATCAAAAGTTAAGGTGCAGTAAATATCATGCATTCCTTCACATTCAGTCACAAAACTCAGGAAAAATAGCAATATCCTGCTTTCATATTCTTTTTCTCTAAATTCAATGCCCTAAACCAGTATTCTCCTGGACCACTGAACAAAATTTTGGAAAATGGGGAGACTATGGACCACTCGTTCTTTTATGTTGTCATCTTTTAAGAGCACAGCCATTCATACTGGCAAACAAACAATGATAAAGTTTATCATCTGAAGTTTCTCATTTAAAATTTCGTTTCAAACAGTTGTTTTAAAAGTTTTTTAAAATTAAATTTTGTACAAATCCAAAATTAAACACATTCGATTTTTTTTACTTCAATGTATGTATTCTATTAACAACTCCTAGAATAAACTTTCTGGTCAAGAAAGTTCTTTAATAGGTATCTCTGAGTACCAACAGTCTAGAGGTGAATGGATATTTAAATCTATTTAGATATTTAGCATTTTATTAGCACTTTTATGTTGGAGTTCTATAGCACAGCAACTGTGGACTGAGTTAACAGCTACACTTGAGACATGTTTGTTAGAGTCTATTTTCTGAATATTAGCATCCACTTCACTTCAATAATCCAATTTTCAACCACTGATCTAACAATCCAGCATATGTGAGAAGGCAAGAATTAAGGCAGAGAGTGGGCTTTTGCCTGTGAACATTGGGGAGGGGGGGGGGATTCTGTCTCCTTGGATTGTCAATGGTCTATGAACTACACAAAGAATTCATGCTCTAAAACCAAAAGGTACTTGTAGAGTCCATCACACAGTTTGGAAAGGAGCTTCAAGAGTTTCAGAAGTAGATCCGCCAGGCAAACATGCTTTTGTGTACTCCCAAGATAGTGTGCCCCCCCCCAGCCTATTTAGTAAAGAGGGGAGGAAGTCAGATTAGGATAGGTCTCTCTGCTTTGCCTATTTTAACTGGTGGATCACAAGCTCTAGTCAACTTAAATCTGGTTTTCTTATCCCAAATCATCAAATTTAAACAAATCAAGAATATGGGATCATCCACAGAAGCAAATCAGTCACTATGGTTGACCTATAGGCCAAATTTGGAGATAAGGAAGAATTTGAAGTTTGAAGGTGCTTGGAAGGATCCATTGTGAGGTTTCTCCACAATATTCAAATTTGCACACAAAACAAACAAAATTCATTGCCACTAAGACTGCAGTACTGTACACAGATACAGAATATACTCCTTACTTGCCACAAATATATTCATACCTACGGTACCTCCCCCCCATCGCATTTCAATCGTATTCAATCCTCCACAGCCACCCACCATGGTTTCTCACAATAAATGCTAATAAATAACATCAGATTACACGCAAACCTTAGTCTAAAGTTCAATTCTTTGCCTTCAGATTAATCCAATCCATATTTACAGATCTCACTTTTTATTCAGCGAAATGGCTCTGCTACTCATGGCCACTTAAAATTCCTAGAAACAGAAATCACTACTCAGAATATAAGCTCTCCAATACACTGTTTAAATCAAGCTTCTCTATTATCCACCTTGCAGTAAAATTCTCCCATTCAAATATATCAAATTTTCCTCTCCTTCCTAGAGAGGCTTGGAAAAAGCATAACTAAATCTTAGATAGAACAGCAGCTGTAGTCATCTCCCACCCAAGAGTGGATACCTTGAGATCCCAAATTCATTCACAAGTGAGAAATCCTGGAAAATCAAGATCTACCCATTTTTCTGTTGACAGGAAACGAGACCAACCTGTTACACATGCATTTCATAGCAGTCCATTGGAACACTCCAGACTGGACAACTTGTGTCAGAACAGAATTGCAAGCAGGACTCCTCCAGGATGAAGCTGATCTCTTGATTTTTCCAGTCTGTAAAATGGGGATAATTTCATTTGACCCATGGCATTAAAATAGAAACCGCTTCTAGCAATATATTCCATTTTTAGATAACGAGCATACCTCAATTTTTTTCTCTTCCAAGAACACACCATCAATCAACTTGACCCAATTCTCACATAAGGGATCCCTTCTCTTGAAATGAAAAAAAAACAAAAATCCCCTTCTCTTAATGGCACAGCACTAGAGATGTTTGGCTGCCAGCATAAGTTACAGCTCTATTAAGATAAGGCATGTGAAAATTTTCCTAAATCTGATTACAGGTTTGGAGTTGGACAAAGAATGAGGTAAGGAGAGATCCTCTTCTTTTTCTACAAAAGCCAAACACCAAATGCCGAGAAACACACTGATTGACAAATCCCAGGAAACCACAAGATTAGGGGGTGGTAGGGTGAGGCATATTATCGACCAAGCAACCCACCGAACGAATCAACCCCAGCTGGAGTCTGATGGGCGTTAGCCAGCCTTCTCCACCCCTCCTTGGGCTCAAGCAGAATAAGAAACCAAGCCTTTGTGGGGAGGGAAAAGCAAAGCTCTCCCCCCCCCACACACACACCTCGCCCTGATCCAGAGATGGAATCTGAAAATGCTAGTAGTCTCCTTATTTTGCATTCTCAGACATATTATCTTACCTGTTCGCCTCGTCGTCCTGCCGCCCCCTCCCCACGCCCCCGGCCCTGTTTCCTTCCTGTGACGGCCGCACGCTTGCAATAAAAATCTCTTTCCCAGTCAGACCAGGAAGGAAACTAGAAATCTTCTTGAATGGTAGCAATAATGAAAGAGGGAAATGGGGACCGGGGGGGGGGGGGCGGAGAGAAGAGAAAACCCCAAGTACAAGAGGGCAAGAGATGGGGCGTCTGCTCTCACCACAGAGACGGTCACAGGCTCCCCGCCCTGTTTTTCCAGAGACCCAACACAGGCGGGGACGGAAAGAATCGCCCGCCTCGTTCAGAGACCCCCACACCGCGGACCCTCACAACCGGCCCCTCCGCTCACGGCGTCTCTGAACCGCGTCTGCTCGGAAAAGAGAAGGGGAGGATGCGAGGTGCCGACGTGCCTGGTCTATTCGTCCTCACTCCGATTCTCCCCGCCTCGATCCCTTTGCGTTTTGCACGAAATCCGAATTCTAACCTGCCGCTCTTGCAGCCGGTTCCACGCCCGCCTGCGAGCCGCCCGCCCGCCTCCAGCCGCCGCGGTCGCTCGGCGTCTGCGCCCGTCCCAACCGGTCTGAACCCTTTAAATGTGGCCAGAACCACTAGATGTGAGCGGGGGGAGGCGAAGGATCAGAGATGGCTGAGGAAGCCCCTCTCCACCCGGCCCAGTGGATCTCTCTTTCCTGACTCTCCGGGACTGAGCCTCCGCCCCTCTCCTCGGTTAAAGGCAGGAGATTTTTCTCTCTCTTCCCCGCCAAATAGTCGCCGTGCACGGCCGCCCCCGGACCCTGAAGTGGTATTGCCCGGGCATTCATTCATCCAGACCAGACCCTTGAGCTGAGGCCAGTTGAAAAGTCGGGGCGTCGGGAGTGGGGCTGCTTTAGTGTAGGCTGAGCGGAGCTCCGTGCTTGAAAGAGCTGAGACCGAAGGCAGCCGGGACAGGGAGATGCCTGTAAAATGTGCGAGGCAACGGGGCTGAACTTTAGCATTGAGTGTGCAGGGCTCCCTTGACCTCTCCCGTTGGTTTTGTAAAAGCCGGATTCGGGCTTCAAGAGGAGACCTTCAGCTGTAGCTTACCGAGGGAGACGAAGTCAGCCATCAGGCGCGTTTGCAGAAGCGGAGCATTAATTTAGCGGCACATTGTCTATTCTCCGTTTTTTCTTGCTCTGTTTGAACACAACGCCTAGCTCGTTTATTTGAAGAGAGGAGCCCGAGAAAAGAGCTGGAAGCCCCGAACCTCGCAAAAGAAAACGGAAGGTGGCTGGATGCGAGCAATGGGGTTGCCTCCTTAGTTTATCCTTTCCCTATTACACCCTTTCCATCCCATCCCACTAGTGTCTTCAGCCGTCTTGGCACCGACGCTGTGCAGAAGGCGCCCCCTCGCGGTGAAAGCGGAGAATCGCAGCTTCCTAAAGACACTAGTTGCACGGTTGTGTGTAAACCCAGGGTGCATATACGCGATCGCGTCTCCTAGTCTTCCCCCCCGTCTTTTCGTCACCGAATCCCACTTGTGGCCTTTCCCCGCCACGGAGCCCTAGTTCCTTCTCACCCCACCCCCCACCCCTTGCTAAGCTGGTGTACCATCCAGGGCACGTTGTCATGGCAGCAGGAGCCAAGAGATGAGGGATGATGGACACCCCACGGGTGGCGGGGAGGAGACAGAGCACGCCGGGCGATAGAGAGCGGGGATGGATCACGGAGGAAGAAAGGAGATCGGGTGGTGGGTGGCGTGGAGACATTTCGCCGCGGAGGAGCGGGCAAGATGCTCCATTTCCATTTGACACACGCCCGCACGTTCACTCTCCCATCCCAGCTCTGTCCGGCCTAGCACCCCCTCCCGCCCTTCATTTTTCTCCCCTAGCATTCATTCGCTCACGATGAGTCATAAACCGCGGAGCTCACGGGAGGGGCCATGCTGGTGTTCCGATTCAGAAGAAACGGGGGAGGACCTGGTTCAGCCCAACCCAACCCAACCCGGGATGGGATCCAGAGAAGAGAAAAGAAGGGAAGCGGGGAAGGGGGATGTTGGCTTGGATGCTGCCTGGCATCGCAAACCCCCAGAAACCGCTGAAACTCAACACTCCCTAGGCCTCTGATGGGAACCAGATGCCCCTGCGCTAGCGCTACCGAGCTTGGCAAGGGCCACGTGCGCCGGAGTGTGTGAGGCGGCGGGAGCAAGCGAGGGGATGCGGGTCTGACTCCACGTTTAAAAACAAACGGGGAGAGAAGGTGGGAGACAGACCCGCCAAGCTAACGTCAATTTTTCTCGGTTACCGTGCCCTGTTCTGGGAAGGGAAAGGAGGTCGGGTCAGATGGGTGTGAGTAGAGGGGCAGGATTTCATTCAGACTTCAGCAGCTCTAGTTTTCCACCAAAGGGTCAGCGAAGGAAAATTACATGCGTCTTTCATGGAGAGGTGCCTTTGAACGTATGGAGAGCACATTCCTTTGGACTTCTATAGCACTTGATAGTCGCAGTTGCTACCCCCATAAATTTGCAACAAGGTCGAAGTTTTAGATACTAAATTGTAAGTATCTAATTAAAAAAGATTATTTTTACAGATCTGAATGCCATTCAATAAGGCATGAACCAGATTAGTTCAACCAAAAGGAGTTGATAAAGGGAAATCAAGACTATATAATCAAAGACAGGCTGAAAAGAGTCTATAAAACAAAAATTGGATTGGTTCAAAATTAGTGTTTGTGTGGAAAAGAGAAATCCTCAAAGCACATATAAACACATGACGCCAGAATAGTATTTTGCCCTATACATAAAAGAATTTCCCTCCCCTCTTGCTATGAGTTTGCTTTATTCTTCCTGCACCACAAAAATTGGAAGCATCTTTCTCAATGGTGATCTGATCTAAATATTGTTTGTTCTGTTCCAGGTTTGGAAGCAATTTTGTCCATGATCAAAAGGTCACAAATCCTTTCAAGCCACGCTCAAACACATGGAAGACTGTATGGCACTGTAAAGCAATATTTAGTGTAATCAGTAGCTGGGAAAGAGGGTTTTTCCTCAGAGGCCAAATTCTTCCCAGTGCATGGCCATAGCTTGTAAACAGGATGGTCAAATGCAAAAGGATTGCTCGACAATGGAATGGGTGGCATATAAGTTTAATACATAAAAATAAAACTTAAAAAGAAATAGTGGTTTTTCCACGTTTCATCAATCTGCAGCAAAGTTACTGTTCCTACTTTCTGAATTTAATTTCCATTTAACATCCCTGTTTATAACCCTGTCTACAGATTCCACTGTGTATGTCTAGCAGTAACTCAGGATAACTTTTCAAGCAACTGTTGAAATGTCAGTAGAAGAAAATAGGAGGGATGAACTGTGGAGTCTTTGGAGTTCTCTTGAGTTTGTCTGTTTATGATGTTTCACTACCTGATTAGGTAACATCATCAGGGCTGATAACTCCACACTCAAGGAGTTATCAAGGGAAAACCAATCCCACTCACCCCCACTGGCAACTACTATAAACAGGGAGTAAACCCCACACTCTCTAGCACTGATGTTACCTAGTTGGTTAATGAAATTTTGCAAGTAACAACTGAGCTCAGAGAGCACCAAGGACTTCCCAATCCAGGGAAATGGATGATATGTCCCAAAACTGTATCCCAGAATAGGATTCTACAAGATTCTTAGGATCTCACATGGGGATTCATAGGATAGAATACAGAAGATTCCTACTCAGATTTTTCCCAATACTACAAATAATGACAAATATTTTTGAATGAGGAATTCAGTCACACTGGACTTTCAGCCAACCTGCAGTCTTACATTTTGTTTTTGCTTCTCTGGAATTTAAATCCTGGAGATAACAGCCTGCCCTTTGGATCAGAATAATCCCACCAATTTGGGATTTCCTGGTAGCCTCCAATGCAAACTCTCACTGGGTTTAACCGGGCTTCCCTCCATGAAAGTTACCAAAGTTCTGTTTCAGCCAACATTACACTTCTTGCTTTCATTTAAAAGTAAAACTCTTATTGGGTGTTCAGGATTGATAGGATTTGTGATATTTTATTTCAGGTAGTGTTATTTGTTCTAGGCTAGCCATACGTTTCTTATTTTTGAGAGAGCATTCTTTATTTAGTAATAGTACATTTTCATACAAAATAAGAAACAGGTGGCTAGAATAACTTGTTTTTCCCAACAACCAACTCCGTAACTTTATCTCTATTCCAATAATAGAGCGCTATAGCTTCTATATTCAGGAGAGAACATTTTCACCACCCAGTCTTCTCTCTGCCACCCAAATGATGTTAGATCAAATCTCCATTTGTGACCTTTTAAATCCCAGAAGGGATCATTTTGGATATGCTGCAATCAAGTAGGTTCCAGAGATATAGCTCCCATTCATCCACTGCAAGAGAAACAATGGAGTGTGTTGGAATGTACATGCACAAAGTTAGAAGGCAGAAATGTCAATGGGAGGGCTAAAAACGAATGGGTTTACATGAGGTCACATCTATGACATTTCTGGCTGGGTCCAATAGAAACTAGAATCCAAACCTATGTGGATGGCATAGATTTCCCAACCATGCTCTAGAGTTCCAGAATCTTCCGGTTTGCATAACGCGCTATGAAACTGCTGGCTAATACAGTATTAATTTCCAGCATTCGTCTGTTGTAGCAAAACCAATAAACAATCTTGAGGCAAAGGCCAGCACATTTATTATGGTGCACGGTTCCTGAACTGTAGCCCAGTTCATCAGACACATGGGGCATTGTTAATCTGTCAGCAAAATATCCCATGTATTCAATGAAGCAGGCTACAAAACTGGCCAGGGAGGCCCATGAGGCCATGCATTGTTGCTGGTCTTGAAGTAGCTGCAATTGGGGTGTATGAGTTTTCCTGTTTACAAGAGAACTTGCAAAGAACTGAAGGCAATAGGTGGGTGATTGGAATATTCCTGGGTATAGATGCACAACAGAGGACATGCCACCGATGTGGGTGCACAGGATACTGACAGGTGTACTGCTTTGCCTAAATATGTGCAAAATCTCCTAAGAAATAATTCAAACCAAGGTCGAAGCAAATCTGCAGCCTCTGGATAAGGAAGATAGAAATAGGCAGCTCAAACTTTGCTACATATTTGGGGATTGCTCAGAAATAAATGAAAATATAAGGAAGTTTCTTCAAAGCTTTTTTTTTTTTTAAGTTGCCTGAACTAGATGGAGGTGTCATATTCAGATGACATAAGCTGACTTCCCTCTTAAGCAGCTTGTGGCAACACTCTGGATGAATTGCTTTAATACCTGCCTATAGAGGGGCCCATTTCCCTCCAGTGTAAGTGGTGGGGAGGGAAGGGATTAAGCTAGATGGGTTCCTGCACAATCACAGTGCCATCTGGTGCCCACACAGCAGAAGGGCTGATGCTAGTCACTTTCCCTAAATCATGATCTTCTCAATAGTTCTACTCTTCTCTGTCCAAAAAATAATAAATCATAAAAATAAGAAAAAAATGATATCCAAGAGCCGTGACTCCTCCACACAGAGATTAAAAAAAAACCCAACGCTGATGACTCCCAGCTCTCCACTGGAGCCTTTTTTCTGACCAAACGAATTCTGGGATCAGAGTCTTGCTGCAGAGCCAGCTCAAGCTTAACCACAATAGCTAGGTTTACAAACACATCGAACCCAAACTAACTGAGCAGATTTTTAAACTAGCATGTTGTGCAATCCCGGCTCTAACGTGCCCAGAATGCTGGCTGAGTAAATCATGATTCAGTTAACCGCTGGGAAACATTTCATAGGGATACCTACAAAGGTGACTGAGAAGTCTCTCTTTTTCTGACCATGGGATGAAAGGAGCAAATAGATTAAAGCAGGCAGGAGCTTCCTTGGTCCAAGCCCTTATTGGATTCACATATGTAAAAGATTTGCAGGACCTGCAGTTAGGCAGTGGGTCAGTTACTCCATATAATTACATGGCTCTTTTAATGCTTCAGTTTCGGTACATATAAAGGACTCTCATGCTCTTTCTAAACTGCCCCTCCATGTTTCCTTTTTTCTTCCCAGCACTGAAATTTAGCAGTGCTATAAGTCTCATTAAAGCTACTGTATGTTGCTCAGGAATTCTGGAACCTGAAGCTCAGCTCATTGGGGTAAATTGGGGGAGGGGGCACCATTCGATCAACCCCCCCCCTTTTCCTATTATTTTGTCTGGATTCTTGATTCTGCCTTTCCTGGCGATGAGTCTGCAGCTGTTTCCAATTCCAGCATTTATGTTGTAAGATTGTGATTATGAGCCAAGGAATGAGTTCATCAAGATTTAAGTGGTAAAGCCCTCCTTGACTGACCCATGAATCAAAGGTGAAGCATGGAGAAGGCGAGTTGCAAGTTTCTATC